TCTCAGGCCTTTGAAGATTAAAGGTGCACAGATTTCTTTCATTTGGTCCATAATAAAAAACGTTTTATGTCAGATTTATTAGGGGAAGTTCCTGTGGAGGCTAAAGGGGTTGGCAAATATTGAGTCCTTTGAAAATGTAAATGTTATGTTTTAGCATCAATATTATTCACAGTATGTACGTAGGCATGGAAATGAAAGAACAGAAAAATATCATATCTAAGATGATTCTGAATTATTTAAGAGATTTGTTCAGCAGCATTTAAGTGCTACAGTAGCAGTTTGGTGCTATCATTAGTGTTCACATGCATATGTGTGTGTTATTAAACCTCTTCCAATCAGCTTTTTCAGAGGACCACCCTCACTCAGCCAATCAGCTCTCAGCCCAACGTGTCGAAGAGTGACTCAGGACTCTTTCTAGCAAAAGCACGTTTCAGATTCTACTTTACAAGATTTCTGATAAGCCAAAGAATGAATGTTGTTATCTAATTTGTTTGCAACTTTACTTTTACAAAACTCTTTTTGTTAAGATACAGAAAAATTATGTACCCCAGCTTTCATATCTAGCCTAACCCTTAAAAATATATCTATTCTTAGTTTGCCTTGATGCCACAAACACTGATTCCAAGCAGCTGAGGATAGAGGACAACTTCTCAAGAGCTAACCTACCGAGTCACATGTTGATGGTAAACAAGTTGGTGTTATGCATAAAGCACAGGAGGCTGATCTTCAACTTGTCCTGTACCTTACACCAGACTAAAGAGGTGTGCATCCCATCCACACTGGTCCTATAAGAACACCTCAGGACGACCCGGGCCGCTCTGTTCTGGTACCACCGTGTTGTCTTGTACACTCTTGACAAAGCACACAAATAATGATACAAACCTTTCTAATAAATACTTATAATCCATAATGTAACCTGATGTAAGTCTGTAGCGTAGGCTTTAAGTGACAAACAATTATATCGTTCTAATGAAGAAGAAAACATTTTAAAACAATGAAAAAACATTGACAGAAGTGACAAATATTTCAATCTACCTCTTCTTTGTGCAATCACCTTCTTGTTCTTAATGGCTTTTTACAAAAATGGTTTCTAAAATATCATACTAGATATATGATATTGATTAATGTTAGTTTCAGCTATTAGTTACAATAGTAGGTGAAACTGTAGATCAGTTGGTTAACAGCTGGTGCGATCTCCAGCGGTCTCCAGTGTCCAAGTCTCAGTGCAGTGGGGACAGATATGGATCACACAAAACCACACATTTGCTCAGACCCACAACACAACAGAGCCACACTCACACCCCACATCAGCTCATGAGGACGTCTGCATGAAGAGGTCACTGTCACCACGGTTTGTCCTGCAACATTAAAAGAGCATCATAAATGGAACTGCTCTTCACACATTATCTCCTTTTAGCTCTGGGTCAACAGCTTCTATATAAGGTATGAGAGATGTGTGTGTACAGGGACAACACACTGCACGACCTGGGTGACTGAGCATTGTACATAAATGGAATATAGTTGAATGCTTTTTTGGGATTTTGAAATATTAGTTACAATATTTTATTTTAACTGTCTGTTACATGACCTGAAACCCTCTGTTGGCAACACGATAATGCATTTACAAGACAGGATTTATACACAACTAACCCAGATTTATACTTTCACTAAAAAGAAAACAAGATATTTCTTTCTAACGTGAATTAAATGATGCATATTTAGGTCTGAATCTGTGATAATCTCTCTTGTTTTCTGCAGCTTTAATGTTTGCTTCATGTTCGAGTGAGAGCGAGTTTTAGTTTACCCTTTCATAACACGTCTGTATATCCTTCTTTGTGCCACTAGACCAAACACAAGAAAAGATAAAATCAGCAAAGTCCTGTTTTCTAAATGCAACAGATAAACTCATGCTCTTCTTTTGAAATCCTTCACTGAGATTAGTTTGTGATCTGCTCTGCTGTAACTGTCGCGGCAAATGCAGTAAAAGTATAAGAGTGGTGGTAAATGTGGGAACGCTATTCAAAAAGAGCTCATGGACTAATGGCTCCTTTGTGTTTATCAGTGCATTTCCTGTGTTCTAATTGATTATATAATCTGTTCTTGGAGAATTGAAAATGTAATCGTCCAAGATGTTGTGAATTAGAGCAATACAAAAATAGAATTGAACAGTCTGACAAAATGTAGATAGACTAAACTCAAGCTTTCAAAATGTGGAGAAATTGCAGTTTTTGACCACGTTACTTCGTACATTTATGTTTAGATTTTTTAAATAAATGAGGCTAAATATAGTTTTAAGGTTTTACTGGACAAACTCTTGATTAAAATGAAAGGGAATTCATCAACAGTGAAGTGTTTTCTTGCCCACCGCAAAGTGAGTCACTTTTAGAGCGAGCTCCTTCACACTCCAGCTCAAGTCAAAAGCAGTAATGTATTATAAATTTAACAAAATAATCAATAATAATGACTCATCTCACGTTTAAAATCTGTTTAATGGTTCAGTTGGTATAGGTTTTGGAAGCATCACAACAGCAGCTGTACAAAAATGAACCAACTATTCAAAGAAAATAACAAAACAAAAAAGGCAACACAGATCAACAAAAGACCAAACGCACAGTCCACAGCATGCCAAAAAAAACAATCCTGATTAAGAACACTGCATTCGCTCACACACACTCGCTCATCCACAAACTGTAAAATATACAATAAGACACATTTTTAAAGAAATATGCATAGACAAATAAAGAATGTTTTTAACACAGTAAACAAATGTGTAGGAGGAGCAGTCGGCGTTTTACTTTGCCACAAAAATGACATTCAGGAGTTATTATTGCCAACTGTTTGACACTTTTACAAAATTATTTATTTTTAAAGATACAGCGTCCACAGAAACATACAAATCATGATAAACATATCGTAACAAGCAGGGAGACATGCTAGAAAACAATTACGTCGAGTTATACGTGTGAATATAAATACACGGTTGTAGCATGTCGCAAAATAAAATTACTTATTTTTATTCCAGTCGGGTCAAAGCTGGGGTATCTACATTTTAAACCAGCAGGAAATTAACCAATGTCATAAAATTCGCCTGACTATAGTTTCTGACTAGTTTTCACATGCATGCTTTTTGGCCTCCGTCACATTTTTTGATTAGCTTTTTCTGACATAAAAGTGAAAAAGAGTGGACCACCCTCTCTCAGCCAATCAGCTCAAAGGATCAATCAGTGACTCACAGGTTTCTTCCTAATAAGTATGCAAAAGATGACTTGTTTTCTAATAATAATAATAATAATAATAAGACAGCATGTTGTGGTCTGGTTTGTCCATAACTTTTGACGTTTTATGTTAGATCATATTTAGGGGGGAAAAGTTAGGTACCCCAGCTTTAAAATAATAGTGTCAAGTTGAATCAAACAAGAATGTGATACCAAAATGTAAGTCCATGAATATCCCATTGATAATAGTGCAAGAGATACAGTACAGCACAGTTGTACGTTTGATCTTAAGTTCATTAAAAACACCTACATGACCGTAAAACCACTGCTGATGAACTGTTGCTATCTACAAAAGGGAAATAAAAACAATAAATTACAACATCTTAAATTTTTTGCGCAATTTTGAATATGATCTTTATAGTTATGAAAAATAATTATGTTGGCACGATCAATTCATTGTTGTTGTTAACCATTTATACAGTTGAAAAGAATTAGCCAAAGTCACACAACAATTCTACGGGAGATTATGTCAGGTTCAGGTAGTGTTCGCTTCTTGTGCTTCTCAAATGAAAAGCGTAGTTGCACTGTTTGTAAATAAAGCAGCAAAAAGAAAACGGGTCCCCATTTATAAACCCACAGCAGGAGAGAAATTGTAGATAATATTGAATTTGCAAAATGAAAAAAATAAATTAATTCTCTGCAGTAGGATGCGGATTACAGGAACAAGTCAATATTATTAAGACTGGAAAGCCCGTTACTCAAGGTCAGTCATCTTGTGGAAGCTTCCTTTGGTAAAATACAGTTATAATTGACAGTATATGTGTATTATAAAGTATATATTATAATGTTAACTGATGCAAACTACTCAGATGTGATTGAGATATTCTGGGAAATCGATAAACTAAAGGATGCCATTTTGACCATTTTGACCACCAAAACGGTTGCTGCAAATAATGATAAAACCACAACTTAAAATGGTTTGATTAAATGTTGATTTGAGTATAGTGTACTTTGACTCTAACAGGATTTGCCAATGGATCGAGCACAAAATGCTACAGTGCTAGAAATAAGATTGTACCTGACGAATCAACTTTTAAAATACTCAAGTCATAACATTTCCCCAAATGATTTTTATTTGTATTTGAATTGGGTGACCATGATTTTGAACCATTGTCTCTGTGGAATAACTAGGCTTTAAGCAAAATACAGTTTTTACAGGCTTGTTATATGTTAAAAGACGTCTCATGTCAGCAATGAAAAATAGTATTTACACAAAAAAGTATTCAAAGGATTGAATCAACCACTGCTATCTACTAGATAGTACTGTGTGTGTGATGGGTTTACAAATGAGGCCCTTTTGATAACAATATTGAAATTATGCAGTTAATAGTTTAAATGCTCTCCCTTAACCCTTTTGTTCATTGCTTTAACACGGCCAATGGTTTCACCAGTGACCAGCAGATTAACACTGTCTCAACACAAAAAAACTAAACTTGTCGCAGCCAATACTAACAAAATAAAATAAAAAACCGACAGATTTTAACCACACAGTTGTTGCGCGTGTCCAGCAGACCCCGTCAAATGCGTGTGGGTTCCTTTAGAGGAGGCCCGTAGAGGAGTGGGGCTGGGGAGGCTTCTCGTCCCATCCTCGTTCTACTCTGGGACTGCTCTCCTGGGTTTCTCCTGAGCTCATGGTGTGATGGTGGTGGGGGTTGAAGGGAGAGGATCACTGGTAGGGGGCGCTGTGGTGTGTGGTGCAGTGCAGATCGTTGCGGAGGCCCTGGGTCACTGCCGACGGTCCTCTGTCTCTGACCGCGAGAACGCCATCACCACGTCCTCTGCTCCTGGAACCACAAGAGAAAAAGGACATTAGGGTTTGACATAATGGCGGAAGCAAACTCAAAACATTTCTATTGCTTGTTTTCACATGCATAGATTTTTTTAGATCAGTTTTTTCAGAGAGAACAGTGAAAGAGGACCGCCCTAATTCAGCCAATCAGTGCTCAACCAAAGTGTCAAATAATGGCTCTTCTGACTATTTCTAATACGATGAAGCTTGCATCTCTAATTTGTTTACACATTTATACTTTTACTTTCTCCATCCATCCATTTTCTTCCCCTTATTCCATTTCTGGGTCGGGGGGTTGGCAGTAAGAGCTGCACTCAGTACACATAGCATCATAGCACTTTTAATTTCTGTTGGAACAAAAAAAAATGTATTTATGAAAAAAAAGTTCCTTTAACAATTCAATGTTGCTAAGATTTGAATGAACAAATTGCTTATGTATACTACAAAAGTTAATTTCTTTTTACAATAATATCTCAACTCAAAACCAATCATTCACGAAATTCTAAAAAGAATTTCAATGAACAAACCTGCTCTTAAGTCAATGATTTCTTAGAGCAATTTATCACAAGTTAAATACTATAATCTAGATATCAATTGTAATCTATTGTTTTTGCAGACACCAGACACTTTGATTTTTTCTAAATGCGCAACTGCAGTGTTTGAGATTATTTTGGGAGTCGGCCAACCCACATTCAGAGCTTTCCACTTGTCATCCCGAAACTAAATTTAGTGCGTTGTGCAAAGTGGGCAGCGCTCTCCACAGGGGGATTCTCAGCTTGTTAAATCCTGTCTTGTGTGACGGTCAGACAAAAGGCACAAACAGTAAATGGCTGTGAAAATCCAATCAGAGCATGCAGGTGGATTTATGTATCGCCATGTTCAGCCGGCACCTGCCAACGAGAAAAGTGTTGACGCGAGACGCACGGTGTGACCTGCTGACGACGTCTTCTGCTCGGCAAAGATTACGGCTCAGAGCGACAACACCAATCACCCAGGACCACAGGAGGTTTGTACATACAACTTACAATCATTCACAATTTTCCACATGCGTTAGATATCAATCAATCAATCTTTATTTGTAGAGCGCTTCACAGTCCACATCACACAAGGCACAGATCAACAAACACCAAACTCACCATTAAAAAGACAATTGAAATCACGAGTAATTAAAAACATGAAAACATTAACATACACAGTATTGCCAGAGATACTATCGTAAACCTTTTTCCCCTATTCATTAGTAGTTAGAAATCTTAAGATAATCCATATAATTATTAATAATGACTCCTCTGGCTACCCTGGAAAAAGCCTTGTTCCAGCTTCTTCCCTCTGGCAGAAGATACCGTTTGCTGAGATGCAGGACAGTGACAATCTTTTCTTAAACCTTTTACCTCGTTTTATTCATGTACCTGTCTGGTGCACACTAGGGTACTTTTGTATTCCAATGTGATCTTACAGAAAATGGCAAATAAATAAATCTGACTACGAAGAGTACGTTCACTTCGCAGTTCCGGAAGAAAGCACCTTCATACAGTATGTAGGAGTAGCAAATACAGGATATAGATAATTGGGGGCTGATCAGCGATGTTGTTAATAAAAGACCACCAGACCTTTATCTGTAGTATGTCAGTATGTTTTTAATTTCTAAAATTTTCCAATAGCCTAGACTAATAAACTTGATCAAACGTCTCGAGAATGGCAGAATACATGCATCGTGTATATTCAAAAAGAATCTTGAAGGGGTTACGTTGTTTGCCAAAGTCCTAACATTTTAATGCCTTCTTTTTTGTATCTTTTAAACGGTTTAATAACCCTATCCGGCAGGAGGCTGCAGAACTGTTTAACAAGAAGCTCTGTGCTACTGCTGCTGCTACTGCTGCTGCTACTACTACTACTGGACACCTTTTGCATTTTAGAACAAGAGAAGAACCCATTTAATGAAACACCACATATGACAAGGCCTTTATAATGATCCAATCATTATTACTATGAGGGACATTCAGTACAATTAATTTTGTTTTACAAGGCAACCTCTCTGTTACCAACTCTAAAATTACACCTCTCAAAAGTCGACGTTAGAAAGTTTCATGTTGCTCTGCAGAGAAGCACATTTGACAAGTAATTCTTGTACAAATATCATTAACACCGCTTCCAAACACCTTCAGAAACTAGCACCGTTCCTACACCTTCTGTACCGCTGCTATAAAAAGCCGCTCTTCACCACAGCTTCAAGAGCTCGTTACATTTAATTATTATGAAGATATGAAAGTAGGCCAACAGTCTGAACGTTTCTTCCAAGTCGAGTATTTGGCACAACGGCGGGCAAACCCTCTCATCTCCAGTCCAAAAACTCTGCATTTTGGTTCAAGTTTAGCTTTGTGTTTTTGACGGGATTAATTAAGATGCAAGTCTGCTGCGGAACGTCTGAACATGCTCATCCTCAGGGAATTCTGATGGTCGACCAAGCGGGGCTATGGTGAATAATGAGCCGCCAATAAGATGATTAAAGAAATGACAGACTACTTGTTAGGAGAGGAACAACAAAGATGGCACGTGTAGCCACTGCAGCACAAAGACAGTTATGTAACGCTGCACAGAATGGTGACAGCATGATTTAGCAGCGCAAAAAGTGCCAGTATTTAGGACAACAGGAAGTCAATGTTTTAAAAATGCAACATCTTCCCTTATCTTTCCATGTGCCATTCCAATACTTCACAAACAATGAAATGCATTACAAACATACTTTTAATAAGTAGAACTTGATCCTGGGTGGCACTTCTCCATTCAACATTTGTGAGTAAAATGGCTAATCACTATGGCGACTGTTCCCATTTTCTTTCTTTGAAACCCATAGACAGTATAATTTTGGTGGTAGTACCCCGAGCAACGCAAGTCATCCAAAAATAAGTCAAAAGACATTAGCACCCAATAGGACCCTGGGATGACTATCTCGGCCATATCTGAGTGCGCCGTTTTGCCCTTAGCCGGTTTGGGCCCTGGATATGAGCATTAACACATTTAGAACAAGAACTAACTGCTGGGATGTAGATTGTCCCACAAAGCTGTTGCCTAGCTACAGATAAGGCAGCATCAGTGGACAGTGGACCAATCACAGCACAGCGGTCATCAGAAGGGGCTGCCCCAGATTACATAACAACAACAACGTGTCAACACAATCGTGCTCTGTAAATGATCCCAGAAGGAGAGTCAATGGGCACCGGAAAACATGAGTGATTACACTACGGTCATAAAGATGACGATATTTTAGACATTAAAGTGTAAGTCTACTGAAATAGTGCTAAAACATGTGTTGAAATCAAACATTTTTCATTAAATTAATTACCATGATTATACCCATGTTTTTATTAGTTATGTTATATTAAGAATGTACTTGATATTAAAATTGTGAATATGAAAACAATTGAGTGTTAAGGAGGACCCGGGGAAGACCCAGGACACGCTGGAGGGAGTATGTCTCACAGCTGGCCTGGGAACACCTTGGGGTCCCCCCGGACGAGCTGGAGGAAGTGTGTGGATAGGGAAGTCTGGGGGTCTCTGCTTGGACTGCTGCCCCAGCGACCAGGCAACGAATGAAGCGGAAGAAAATGGATGGATGGTTTCGATGTATATCAATGACCTGCAGACATTGTTGGAAATGTCTGCAGTCAAGAACAGAAATAGGCCAGATTTGAGTACTTTTTACAACCTTGCATTAAACATGTTTTCCTTTTTGGTATGAATAGGACATGCACATTTGGATAAATAACAAATTGATCTAGCGTTCCTTCCAATCTAATATTTCTTGCCAATTCTTCTGGAAAATTATACACACAAACAGCATTGCTTTAATAATGTTTTGATTTGTGATCTGTGGTAGCTCTGAGAATATGACGGCAATACTGTACGTGGTGATCGATGTGCCAGAGAGAAGGTAAAGTTAAATTTAGAAATAAAAGCAGAAAGTTCCAGACACAGCCCTTGATGTGTGAGAGCTAGATCGGCTTGAAGGGAAAGTCTTTGAAGTTAAAAGTCTTCTTCTAAAAACGCCGGAGGCCAGAGCAGAGGTGGGCCGACAGGACAGGCTCATGTGGAGACGGCAGTGAGAAGGTTTCAGACAGATTCACTTTTAAGCTCGGCGTCAGAGCAGACAGCCCAATCACAACACAAACACACAGGAGCAGGGTTGGAATCAGAAATATCAATATTGATATAAAATGTCCAAAGCAAGCAGCTACACCACCTCTGCTGCTGTGACCCGTCCTGCTCCACCCAGTGACTGCACCACCTCTGCTGCTGTGACTGCACCACCTCTGCTGCTGTGACCCGTCCTGCTCCACCCAGTGACTGCACCACCTCTGCTGCTGTGACCCGCCCTGCTCCACCTCTGCTGCTGTGACCCACCCTGCTCCACCCAGCGACTGCACCACCTCTGCTGCTGTGACCCAAAGTGCTGTTGCATTTTAATACTATCGTTAGCTATATTGTTATATGATTTGTTGGTATGGATGGAGGCGTTTCTGCTCCTACTGGACACCTGAATTTTTCCTACAGGGGATCAATAAAGTATCCATCTACAAAATAAATATAGAACAGAAGCGACCATGCACTGATATATATGGTTTGAAAGTTATGCACCCCAGCTTTAAGCTATTAGTGAAAGAGGACCCTTCTCCCTCAGCACTCTCCTAAAAGTGTCAAAAAGTTACTCACAGGGCTTTGTTTTCTAATTAGAAGAAAACAGCATAATTAAGATCCTAACAGATAAATAAAAGTTATTTTAATCTTGTGGAGAACAAACATGCATTTCAGTTTGGACTTAACTGTGTGGGAAACCTAAAGGTACCCCAAGCTGTGTTATTTTGGAATAATTCCTGCTTGGTCAGAAATACAAAACATGTTCTATTCTTGAATAAAATGCAGTTCAAAAGGCTTGCAGGAGTTTTGATTTTGTGCAACATCAAAAGATGACACAATGGTGACTGCCCACATAAAAAC